TGGGTAAGGTCAATGGCTGGGTGTCGGAAATAAATTAACTGAATGTTGCATGTGGGGAATGCTGATAGAGACGTCTAAAGTGGAAAGAAAATGAAGTACACAGCAAAGCAGAAAATTCTTGATTGTTGCGTTGTCAAATAGCGCTCTGCTGTTAGCTCAGGAGAGAATGTGGGTCTGTTTTTGCAGATCAATAGGTCCTGCAGAGGCTGTCACAAGCCTGGGCCTGATGCATGCCTGCGTTGGGTCTCCACCCTCCACTGTTCCCACATCTCTCATTTGCCTCCTGTGTGTCTAACCACAGAGCTCGCTAAGTAGAAAAGAGTATGCTCAAAGCAACACCGCTAACAGTGAGGACACCGGTGGGCTTCCAGCTGACAGATTCCAGCTTTGATCAAGATTCCAGATGGTTGGGGTCTGGGACAGGTGTCTTCCTGGCTCAGCAACCCCCTGCTGAGAGCCCATCAATAAGCAACGGGAAGAATAGCTGAATACTTTGCCTACAGTGACGAAAAACCCTTAAACATTGTTAAACCTCTGATAGTTCTGTACACACTGTCTTCTTTTCTGTTGTTTTGTTCAGCTGCCTGCAAGAAAGACGAAGCTTGTAAAATCTCAGGGGATCCTCCACCAAGATTTCATAAACTAAACTTTTTTTTCCTGTGAAAAAAATTTCAAACAAGTTTTTAAGAACCTAGTTTGTCCCTTTTATGGCTGAAACCACACTGACTACAATCAGCAATGAAAAGACACAACGACCACACAAAAATCAATTGTAAAACTCCAGTGCCTTTTTGTTTTTTCCTGTTTGAAGTTTGAAGTGGTGTGTGTGTGGACTAAATGCGTTTCTTCAAACTGAATGTATGCTGCCTGGGGAAATCTCCACGCACCAGTTGCCAGTAGCCAGCCAACAACTGGCAGGAGGAAAGCGCTCCGCTCCTCTGAAGTCTTTCACAATGAGTATCTCTGAAGTACAGAGAACAAAGCCGAGGAATCAGCAGTAACCATATATTTACCATCTTCCTGTAGTATTTCTTTAGGTGGCATGAAGGAAGAGAAAACGACTTGTGAATTTTAAACGAGATACATAGAAACTAGAAAATCAGGAAAACAGTATTCTATACAAACGTGTCAAATAATAAATAAAAAAACTTTGACTTTTTATTTCAAACTGCTTTATTTTCTTGTTAAAGTACTTACTTAAAGTTATAAATTGATCTATGAGATTTTTTGCAAATAGTCAAAAACTTTATGCCTTTCACCCTTACCATTGGGCAATAAAAGTGCCAAGATATTTCGTATTTAGAAACCAGCCTCAACTCAATCCAGCCTGACAAGCCACTTGAGTTTCATCAAGAGCTGAAGTCTGATCAAAAGGTTTGTCAAGATTCTTGATTAAGTCCAGCTTATATTAGTTTTCAAGCACACATTAGCAGTAAGTAAATGGCTATTAAGTGGAGGTTCTGCTTGACTGACAGACAAAATAATCTTCAACTCATCTCGACTGCACTGTCTGCAAGTAGACACTAAATTACTGCAGAGCTCTGGACACAATGGCAGCTGAACGACATGATGCTGAGATAATAAGAGACATTCACTCTCCAAAACTCAGCTGGGTATTGCAGAGCCATTGTATGACACGTAGATGTTGCTGTTTTTATTGATGTTTTGTGTGTTCTACTTGTTCTTCAGAATAGCCTTCATGTCACTGCTGTGTATGTGTGATATTTGGTGAAAACTACAATATGACTTATGTCAAACTAACCCACTTCCATTGTAGCTATTATTGCCATCGCACTCTGGAGAGTTTGAGCAGTTACACAAGCAAGAAAATGATATATTTCTTTGCCAGTCAGCTGTGAGAAAAAGATGCAAGTAGAGATATCAAGCAGGCAATCAGCGCAGTACAACCCACACTTTGTCCACTCCGCTGTGTTACTGACAGTGTGTACTGTGTTATCAGCAGGCCTGACTTCTCAACTTCTATTATCTCCCTCTTTGCACATGATGAGCCATTCGCCATCCGTCATGAATGTAGCTGTGTGCGCCAGCCCACACACTGGACGGACGCCTACTTTCTGTGGTTATCTTCAGATGTCAGGTGGTTAAGGCGCATCACGTTCAGTCAGAAACACGTTGAGCTGAACAGCTTTGATGGATTTCACATTTTGAGCCAGAAGCTGTTGCAGGTATGTGGTGAAGTCAGGGGGAAAAATAACACTGATTTCCAACCTGCGATCCTTTAGTGTGAGCTGGTCAGCCAATCACTGATTGGGAGGATTGTACTAAAGACAAGAAAATCAGCCGAACATCATTTCTATTTGTGCAGCTTCACCTTGAAATTATTACCTAGATGTATGTTTTATGAATGAAGCAGGTTCATTTTGAACCACTAAGCCATGCCTTTTGTTTTCCAGTATGTACGGGTCTTGCAGAGAGACAGGAAGCAAAGGCTATTGTTTAAGAGGGAATTCCAACAAATGGATTGTCATTAAAGTTACTGCTGTCAGGACAGTGGCACATTCAGTAATGATCATGTCTTAGCTGGCAGTGCAGCAAATAAGAAGTGAGTGATATCACTAGCAAAGGTGTAATGTTGCTTAGCTCCCCAGGACTCAACTCCAGTTATAATTGGAAACCCAACATTCTCTTTCACTTTTACAAGGGACACTCTTGTCTTTGGTTTTCTCTGCTGAAAGCTTTCTGCTTCGCTTCCAATTTGCCCCTGCAATGGTGGTTGGGTTAGGCAATTGAGTTTTGACTTTGTGACGGGGGTTCATGCTTTTCATTTAAAAAAGAAATCAATACTCTGTGCAGATGCTGGCTACTAAACAGCTCAGACAGTGGTGGAATATAATAAATTTGATCCCATTTTTACTTTCGAATGGATTTAGATTACTTCACCTTGTGAGGGTTTATTTAAAATGAAAGCTGCACCACAAAGCAGACAAATGGCAGTGGTCATTGTTTGCATTATCATGGAGCCATTCACTGATGCTTGGTGTTTTCATTATATTGGCAAACCGATAAAGCTTGAAAATATATTTTATTTGATCATTTCAAGTTGATCCATGCCATCTCCGGCAAGAGATTTTAACTTGTGAGCCAGCTTAAGCAGTAGCGGGAATATGTGATTGCAAACAGCCCTGGGTTCAGCCTTGGTATGAATCTAAATCACGCCCAGGAAAAAAAAAAAAAAACTTCCTGAAACATTTTGATGTAACAAGATCCAAGTTGCCATGGCAGTGGGGAGCCCTCTATGTCAAGCCCGGGAGCACAGCACCAAGGAAATCACAAAGGTCCAAAGCCAGAAACGTAGCAGAGAGCAAAGTCATTGTGATGGATCAAAGAGTTCCTTTGTTCCAGTGTTTCCCACTGGAAACAAGCAGAACTCAAGTTTTACTTTGGTTTTCTGTGACACTTTGTTTCTTTAAAACAAAAAAAGAGCACGCACATCAGAGTTGCAAGAAAAAAGTGAACACTCGAGAGGGAATATGTGACTAATGGTAATAAAGTGTATGAAAGTGGCAAGTGTGTAGGTGGAGTGGGCACAGAGCGCACATTGTCTTGTTAATGTTCTCTGCTCTCAGAACAGGTGAGGGAAGAGATACGGTATCATGGCTTATAACAGTATCTGTCACCAACAGAGCAGCTATTTCTACACTGCATACGACCCAAACGTGTCACAGGAATACTTTGATTCAGCCTCCAGTACTGTTTTATTTAAACAACTGCTTCTATATGGCATTTTATATAAAGACACAAATAAATGTGTTAGTATCCTTACAGGTCATTAAAACAACCTAATTTCTTCTTTATAAAACCCTGAAATACACTAAAATATTATGGAAAAATATGTTTGTGACCTTAAAGGCATAGATATCCATGATAAAAATAAAGGTTATTAGACCATCCAAGCAGTTTCATGTTCCTGTCACCACAGTTGCCAATATTATTAAAAACTATAAGATTTGTGGGACTGTAGCCAACCTCTAAAAATGTGGATGCAAGAGGAATGAAACCCCAAGAGGATCAAATGAATAGTGAGAATGGTCGAAAAAAAAAAATGTCAAGGAAATCATTCAAACTTTTCAATCTGAACTCCAAGGTCAATCATTGTATGTCACTTTTTGGTTGCACCATTTGTTGTATTTTGAATCACAACAGGCTCCATGGAAAAGAAGTCCCAGGAGCGCTCCACTTTTGACAAAAAACACAAAAAGCCAGACAGGAATTCACCCAAATGCATGTTAACCAACCTCAAAGTTTCTGGGAGAATATTCTTTTGAACTGAGGATACAAAACTGAACCTTTCTGGCCAGCCACAACAGTTGTGCCTTTTTATGTGTGGAAGGGTACCAACAAATTTATTCTTGTCTGTAATTGCTTCCAAACCCAGGAAACTCTATATAGCTCTTCCACAACAATCCTATATATGGCATTTGCTGATCATCGTAAGCGCTTACAAATATGGCTAGAGCTGTCTTTTGTCCTGTTTATAGCCTCCCCAAGTCTCTCAAAAGAAGTTGTGCATTCCAGAAACCTTGTGTTATGCTTACATGAGACTATTTGAACTGCATGCCTGAAAAAGAAACCAGCCACTCTGTCAGATAATGAATTGAATCCCATCTTTGGGCCCCTTTATTCCAGAAAGCATTTTTGCAGCCTTTCCCTGCTAGTTACATCAGATACACGATGGGTGGCTTGAACTTTTATCAGGCTGGATTTTGTTTATATTGTCCAACAGTTGCCAAACATTCTCTGTCTTTCAAGTTCACTTATGGGCCAGTGGACATGGTGCCGCTTAACTGTTGAAGCTTGACAACAGTCTGTCTAGGGAGGGTAAAAATAGACTTTGGGAACTCCACTGATCGTTAACAGGAAGGTGGTGTGTGTTGCTTCCAAATCTCAAAGCATCTGCATCTCGACTTGTTAATTTAAAGATGGTATCTCACTGAGCTACAACTTGTTGGTGAATGACATTCATGAGGGAGTTTCCAAAAATGTCTCCAGAACGTTTTGACACTTTTGAGGGTTTCTCAATTCCCTCGCACGAGTCTCAAAGGTGAGCAGTCCTTTCACTTGAGTATTGATGGTGTTTAGTGCTTCATGTGGGGATTAAAAAGGCCGGTACTTTAACTCACCTTGAACAATGTTAGTTCATGGTATATAATAACGATTTCATTAGTTTACTGTTACTAACATATGGTCAACAACCAAAACAGCTAAATAAACCAGCTTCAAGAAAATTTGTCCAAACTAATGAACAACAACCTATATGTAATACATTTTCTGTTTAAGCGACAGGTGAAAAGTGCATAAGTAGTAGTGCATTAAAAGATATACTTGACAGTTTCTTAAATTAAAAAATAACTTAAAACAGAAGCCTTTTATATCGGTGAGTTATTTTGATGGAATGGTCAATGTCTGATATTTAACTGTATCGCTAATATTGTCCGATACCATGTCGATAATAACGTGCATCACTAATAAAAAGTAGTATTTTTTTAAACCTGGACATGGCAAATGCAGCCTTTATGGCTTGTTGGTCACTTGGTTGCAAATTTGCGTATGTTCTCACAATGTTCCAGCAAATGTAGGTCACCAACTGCTCTCCCAATAGTCACAGCTCAGTGAGAAACAATCTTAAAGTATCCAATTTACTAGGGATTTCTCATTCTCAAGGGATTTTGACATTCTCCCCTGTCTCTCCTCTGGGTCAGCACCCCATGCTGCTGTGGAAACCAGATCCAATGGGAAAAGCCCACCCAGCTGCTGCTGGCCAGCTGGAATGAGAGCCTGGGAAGTAAAGGTAAACTTAACTTCCACCCAAACAGTAAAAAAAAAACCACCTCCCAGAGTCTGCACCAGAACGTCCGTGAGCCACAAAGTGGAGATTACTTTCTAGTTTATGTCAGCCTTAAAAGAAAAGGAGGCATCAACAGATTTCCCCCCCCCCCCAAGATATAATTTTATGTGGCACATTTGCAAACTATCACTTCATGATAATGATGGGAGTGACATTTTGCTTATTATTGCACCAAGGTGCCTTTGGTTATTTGTTTTTCCTATGCAAGCTAAAAAAATGCAAATGCTTTGTCCTTCAAAATCTCTCTTCTTTGTATCGATCACAAAACACACAAACACTCAAGGGAGCTGTCATTTCTAATTTACACAAGCAGAATACGTAATGGGAAAATCATTGACTCGGTTATCATTCAAATCACAAACCAAACTAGATGTCAGCATGTTTATTTAGAATGTCGACTTTTAATATTCCAGCAGTGAAGGACGGTGGAGAATGGACCACATTCCCCCTAAATTCCCTGAATTCCTTGAGGCAGACAGGAAAGGTGGACACAAACCTCAGCAGACAGGTTATTAATACACTCAACCACATGTGTGTGTGTATATGTATATGTATATAAGAAATTAACACGTGAAAAGTCCGTTTCACACGTACAACTGCTGCCATCAGGTCGTGAAGAGAGAGCAGGAGGCTCCTCACAGACAAATGCCTGCACACATCTATCGCTGATGTGATCTTCAGCTGCCTTTTACACCTCCCTCACCTGTCAGTGTCTAGCAGCATCCTGACAATTGGCTCTTTGACCTCTCCGCACCGAGGTAACCAGATCTAATTCTGCACGGTACAGCAACAGCACACAAATAAGCCTCTCCGCGCATCTTTGAGGAATAAGTTGCTGAGGAATCTTGGCCCACATGAGTAAAATTTAATGAGACTTTCACCAGCTAAAAGAAAAATAATGACTCACGCATTAGTGGGTGTTTGCGCTGCCTCTTAGGACACGGACGTTTGCAGTACAAAGCCTGTGCGCATCAGCAGTTTAGGGGAAAAGAAGCTAAAGACAGGAAATTGTTGAGGATGTTTTCAGCAAATATAGACTTCTCTCTGATCTATGCTGCTCTTTTAGTTGTGAATTTGACTCCGTATGTTCAGCCCCTATTCTATTTTCTCACTGCCCCGTGAGTTGGCCCACCAGGAGGGAACACAAAAGAAGTATTGACCCCACATTCCCCTGTCCAGGATGAGCAGGATAATTAACTGGAGTGTTAAAGGCAGGGTGCCTGAGAGACTGTAAAACAAGGTATGAATACTGAGCAAACTGTTTTATCCCACAGGACTTACAGCCCAATCTATACTTATACATTTATTCTCCTGCGAGGTGTCTGACAGGTCAAATGTGGGCTTCTCCATTATCATCTTTTATCTGTTATAGGACAAAACACGTGGCGACGCAGACAAGTTTTCTTCTTTGTTCTATGTTTGTTTTATTGCTGGAGGGGTGAGTAAAGTATTGCTCACCGTAGGCTCAAGTTTCAGCAGTGGCATCAAACATGCCCTCCACAATGTGTGTCACCTCTGTTACAGAACAGTGGAGCCTGCACCATCTGTTAAGCATCTGTCTGATGGTGATTCATCCACTCACATGTAGTCACTGTTTCAGGTGTCTGCAGCAAAAACGTGATAAGTGTTAACAACTGTATTTTTGTGTGTGTGTGTGTGTGTGTGTGTGTGTTTTCGGCAAAGGATTATTCTTTCCAAGAAGGTTGAGAAAAAGGCACGAGAAAAAAAGAAGGTTCTGCCATCATGAATTAATTACAATATTAGCAAAGCATAGATTTGCTTTGGCGCATTTTAATTAAATGTAATTCAGTTTATTTTTATAGCACCAATTCATGACAAAAATCACCTTAGGGGATGAGAAAACCAGTCCAAATCAGCAGATTGTGTCAAACCTTCACTTCGACACAATCCACCATCTTGAGCAGCTCGTTGGCGACAGTGGAAAGAAACGACTCCCTTTTAACTGAAAGAAACCTCCAGCAGTACGAGCCTCAGAACAAACAGACTGTATATAATAAGTACTGTATATACGTCCAGTTGTTTTTGTATTGAGCGTTTTTTGAATACTGTATATACTGTATATTTTTTATTATATA